GTGCTTACACAGAGCCAAGGCCTTTTCTGCCTCTCACACCACGCACCAGCGAGCAGACTGGGGGTGCACAAGGAGTTGGGAGGGGACACAGCCGGGACAGCTGACCCCAACTGACCAAAGGGATATCCCACACCATATGATGTCATGCTCGGTATATAAAGCTGAGGAAGGAGGAGGAAGGAGACGTGTTCAGAGTGATGGTGTTTGTCTTCCCAAGTAACCGTTACACATGACAGAGCCCTGCTTCCCTGGGGATGGCTGAACACCTGCCTGCCCATGGGAAGTGGGGAATGAATTCCTTGCTTTGCTTTGCTTGCGTGCACAGCTTTTGTTTTACCTATTGAACTGTCTTTATCTCAACGCAGGAGTTTTCTCAATTTAACTCTTCTGATTCTCTCCCTCATCCTGCTGTGGGGGGAGTGAATGAGCGGCTGCTGGCTGGGGTTAAACCATGATATTCTCCTGAATAAGAAAAAAAAAAAGGGCAGATATTGGCTAAAACGTTTAGAAAAGAATTGTCGCTTGGTCATGCTTCTGTAAGTACTGTTTTTCCAGACTATTGATCCATACCTTTACTTATCTTCAAAAATCAGATTTTTATTTTTGGTGGAATGCCTTCAGTGAAGCACTGCTCCATTGGAGCCGATGGTAAAATTCTCACTGGCTTCAGGATTTAAGTGTAAGCCACATATTAGAGTTCTCATTCACTTCCCTACAACTAAAATTCAACATTTGAAAACAAGACTACCTGAAGGCCCCTTGCTAAGGCTATGGAAGGGTGATTTCCATTGTAAGTAAAAAATTAGTTTACAATGTCTTAAACTCCAGTATCTTGTTTTATACTAAACAGTCCTATTTTGGTATAGTCAAGAATTATGGTATGCACACATTTATAGTGTTTAGTATCTTTAATTGGCATTTCTAAAAACAGTTTTATTTGCAGTTATTTCTTTAAAATGATTTGTTAAAATATTTTATTCTAACTATTCAGTTCTAATACGATCTTCATTTCTGTGTTTGCTCTTGTCACTGATGGTGTTCATTACTAGCATTTGGAGATGTGGTGGTAAGTCTGCAAATTCTACTGTTCTTCACTTCTGTATCAGCAGTGGGCTCACTGTACCTTCTTAAAAACCTGCTTACACTTGACTCCGCACACTCTTATTTCCTAGGAAGAGAAAATAATTAAAAAAGACAACTTTTACATAGGACACATGCATTATGCATTTATGTGTATGTCCAGCTTAATTTGAATCCACAATTTTCTATCAAGTTAGATTGGGTAGCTTGTACATATTTTAGCCTATTTTTGATCCTAAAGAAAACCAGCTAGCTTGGGTTTGTTTTCTAGTGAAAGGCAGTAAGAGAAGTTATTCTGGGATCTTAGATCTAAAAGGGCCAAATATGTTCCTGGTGCGTTATTCTCTATTTGCAGTGTGTACAACTGCTTAGGTCTTTGAAACTGGCATTCTCTACTTCGGACACATAAAGAAGTTATTTGGGGCTGGATTTGAATAACCACTTCTGAATTTGTATGTTAATGACTGGTAGTTCAAACCTACAAAACCAGAAATCAGCTGAAAGCCCACTCTCGTAACACAATGATGATGGCTAGAAAAGGACAGGTTGTTGTGTACAGAAGACTTGATCTAGGTCTATCAATCACCGCACAGCAGTGCGTTTTGACTGAACTTGATCATACTGGATGCCTAATGCTGCCTACTGTTCCTTTTTGTTCCACAAGAGCTTTTCAAAAATCCCTACCTGCTAGTCATTGGATTATAGGGAACTGTGCATAAGCAGGTGCAATGACGTTTACATCTTGGGCACTGATTTGTGAGGCCTACTGTTGTTTACCTAATCACACTGAAGATGCAGTTTAATCTTCTCCATTAGTAAAATTATTTTAGTTAGACCTGAGAAGTGCACATGAGATGTGTGCAGGTGTTGACTGGTTTTAGTGGAAGAAGAAAAAGGGGTGGAACTTCTTAAGGGACATAAAGGTTATGTATGACCTAGCAGAAGGGATGTACCTTCTATTTCAAGATAAGACTTTTAATAAAGCTGTCAGAATATTTTGAGGAAACAGGAGGCAGTTTCCTGGGAAGTTATGCATACTTTCTTATGGGGGACTTTGAAAAAAATTACATATTAAAAAAACCTTACACTGAGTCAATAATCTTACTGGCATATGTTGCTACTCCCTAGTAAGAGGAAGTGCTTCATGATGAATTGATGAAATAAGCAGACTGATACAGTGATTTTAGTTAGGACCTGTTTTGTTCACTTCCATATAGGTACCTCGGAAGTAGGAGTGTGCAATAAGGGCTAAAAGATCTGCTGACAGTGACAAAAACCTCCAGAGCAGAAGCAATCAATACAATAGAAAAGGGCAATAAAACTCAAAAGGAAATGGAGAATGGTCAAATAAGTCACTCACATAAAATAGAATCTAAGGAGGAAAAGGAACTACAAAGTACAGACTATAGAATGAAATGGAGAAAATAGGAGGCGATAAACTACTAAAGGATGTGGTACTACTCTCTACAGAACTGTGGAAAGAATTAAATTAACACTTGGCTCATTGTGTAAAGTTCAATAGGATCATAAAGCTATCGAAGTATCAATTTTTTAGAGGTAACTGCCCATTGTATCAAAGGACTCTCAAGAGTATAGGACCTAGTAATCTTAGCTGGTCAAAAATAAGATACTAAATGAGACTCTATTACTGTATGTTTAATGGAGAGAGTTACATTAACAAGGATTCAGAGAAATAAAGGACATCTTTTGAAGTTCATGAAATATAAAAGTGAAATATTGGGAACTGGCCTCTAAAATACTTGGTTACTTCCTTTGCCTGAGGTAACTTTGTACCTGCTGTTGTGTACAAGAGACAGGTTGTGATAAATGGTACAAGTGCCACTGAGTGCATGGATACCTGCATGAGCTGCCAGGTATTACAGAGAACTCTTCACAGATTCTGAAAAGCAGCCTCCGATCAGTCAGGTTACCGTGGGGTACCTAAAGTGGCACTAAACACACGTTTGAGCAACTGAATCTGAATTTATAACTTCTAAAATCAAATTCTTGACAGGGTTAAGCATAGAAAGTGGTCTGGCCTGGAGGTCCATGGCTAGGTGGTATGGCTAGAGCATGAGTCAGAGTAAGGATAGCAGAAATCAGGGCTAAAGAAATTGGTGTTGGGGACAGGAAATGAGAAGAAATGATGACTGCAGCACTGGCAAGGGACAGAAACCAGGATGCCAGTACAGAGGAATCCAAGAGCAGCTAGTGCTATTGCTTCATATATGTACAGATGAGTGCACATGTGTGTATGATTGAGTGCAGCAAGATAGAAGTTGAACTTCTAGGCCGGACATTGTATGGCTAATTGCAACCTGTTTGCCAGCAGAGAATCTGAAAGGGCTGATGCTTGGTGTCATGGTATCAACTTTTGTGAAGCTAGGAGGTAGTGTGGAAATACTGTAGTGTGTTTGTGCATAGGTAGAAGGAATATGTATACACAGGAAATTCTGGAGTCTCCTTTTTATTGCTTCTTCCCTACTTTCAGTGAGCCCATCAACTCAGCTATAAAGTGATCACTTAGTAACTTTCTCCCTACCTGCATTTTATCAAGTATGTAGTCCACATGGTAAGATCTGTCATATACATTCCTTTCCTGAACTGGTTTCTGGGTCTTCCAGTGCTTCCTGAAAATTGTGTTTAGTAATAAGGGGTCTGGGGTACTTTTGCAAAGATTTTGTAACTTTGCCACTGATTTGAATATTTAGAGAACATCCGTTTAGACTGCTGAATGCTAATAGTACTGAACAGCAACCAGAAATGGAGGTTGGATTTTATTATCTCAGAAGGAAGACTGCCTTTTACCCACACTGATGAGAGAGTGAGGATGCTATAAAGAGCTATGTGAGAAAAGAACAGGCATCTTCTTTCAGGTCCTGTTAACTTAGAAAGATAAAAATGATGATCTGAAAGAACATGACATTTCAAAAACTTAATTGCTGTTTTAGATCTCTAGTCTCTAATGCAGTCTGGCCTGTAATTATTTTAAAAGAACAATGGTATATTTTCCCCTTATGGCTTATTGTTGGATGCATAATTTCACCAGCTACCAAACTGCATATTTCACAGGGTGTATGAAGGACATTCTGTTAAATGTCTTCCTCAGTGTAAACATTTCAAAATGGTACGTCTGGACAGATAGTTAACTCAGAGTATTGCTTTGAAATCAGGCTGCCTTTGTAAGGGACATAAAAGCATAATGGCTCCAAATGAAATTGTTGCTTTAGAAACAAGTCAAATACTGCACGGATACTTAATTATGTCAAAGTAAGCCAAGATAACATAGCACACAGCCTGCTGCATTACATCTAACCATTTTAATAAAGTGGCATTTAAAACCTGTTACATGATCTTACCAGGTGCATTTCATCTCCTTCAATCCACTGGGTCCAACCACGACCTTCTTTTTCTCCATTCTGAACACAAAGAAGCTTATCTCCATCCCAAGATACAGTGGTCTAACAAAACACGTATGTTCAGTATTACTGTAGTATTCTCTGATATTACGATTAGTTTCCTTAAAGCAAAACTTCTCTCTAATGTAATAAATGATTAGTGTATCTCATAAGATGAATAACTGTAGAGTGCTGTAACTCTTAGGATAATTACAAAAGAAATGAGCTTAAATAGAAAGTTGCTGCCCAACTGCCTGCCAAAACCTGAAAGGATGAGCTAAAGCTGTCTGAATTCAAGAAAAAAAATCATAAAAATCATTGTGTAAGAGCACACTCCTCTATCACTGCTGACAAATACAGCAGCAGAAGGGATGTGCAGCCTAACACTGTATTTGTAAAAGGAGCTAAAAACTTGAGATTGTTTGGTTTTTCCACCATAAGAAAGATTCTCCAGCTGCTCTACCTGAAAAAAGTATCCACCTACTGGCAGCTATGGAAGAACAAGGCTTTTAAATTCTGAGCTGTTTTTCCTGATGTCTTAATCTGCCTTCCATCATCAAGCAGAGTGGTTTGGAAGTATCAGCAAATTGGTAACTTTGCCAGCATCCTGCTTTGTGTAACTGTAGCTGGAGAACTACTTGAGCCAGGACTGGCAGAATAAGAGTAAGAGTAAGGTGTTGCAGGATTCAACACCTTTTGTGAATATCGGTGCTGTCCTGAGTAGGTTCAGTAGAACTTGATTCATAAAACTATTTAAATGTACAAGGGTGCATCCTACAGTTTGTTACTCTGGTTAGTCTTTACTGACAATTTGCCTTTCACGTCCTCCTAAGATAAAGAGAAGCAATACTCTGTAAAATATTTCAAGAGGGAAGGGGAAGAGCAGTGACAATTTGTGCTCCATGAGGACAGTTTAACATCAATAGTAGCACATGGCTTTTAAACGAGCTTGTTTGTTGAGGACTAAATATGGAATTACTGTCTACATGTGCCTTCAGCCACTGCCCGTTTGAGCAGTCAAATATAGAGAGAAGATGAATTCTATTCTATCATTAAACTTACTGCATCCATCCTGTGTAGTTTCTAAGAAAATAAATCAGCCTACATTTGTCATTCTGGGAACTAAAACCAGTTCAACAACTATGCAGCCCTATTTATATTATTTCTGTATGTCACAAACAATTAATTCTTAAATGATAAACATGATAGCCACTATCTTTAAATGAGTACAGCCAGCAGTCTCCACCTCTGGGAAGCTTTAGGCTAAACAAGCATGGAAAATGAATCACTAGAAAGAGTGCCAGCATAGATAATAATAGGCAAGGCATTGTTATTGATCCCATATAGTCTGCTTGCACCATATGGGGTCTCTGAAAGACAAACTCATGTGTCCATGCTAAAAATCTGTCTGATATGGAAAATGCATTCACAAATTCTTCTGTTCACTCTTGTAAAATGACATATTTAAACCAAGTAGTAGATAACATTTAAAAAACCCCATATACTTTTAAAGTAAAAAGTGCTAATGCAGGCAGGAACAAAGCATTTGGGTAAAGCTGTAGTTAATGTGGTCATCATAGTATATATATATATTTTGAATCTGTAGATGTCCAGCTGGAGATGGAAGATAACAAATAATACCAAAATGAAAATTTTTTGTTTTATAAGTTAACATATCTAAGACTTTCTCATGATTCTAAAAAATGAATATATTAGAAAATGAATATTATTTCTACCACTGACTTGTAGATGTGAGGGACACTGTGGAATGAAGCATTTGTATATGCAACTTTGCTTAGTAACTGAACTTATTTTTATCCATTGAGTAATAGCTCTGCATAGTTTAATCACTAGAATAGCTTAATAGTTAAGTTTTGTGGGTTTATATGTGAATTCAAAGGCAATATACCATGATAAAGTAAGATCCAACTTTATTAGTACTACTAATGTTCAAAGTCAGTTGTGGAAGTCTTGATAATATTCACTAGCTTAGTACACTTGGGGCAACTGAAAAATGTTTGTAGCAGTGCAAGGAAATGTTAACTTTTCAGCTGCCAAGGGTGATTCAAATTGTTTCATCTCAAAAAACAACATTTTTTTCTCTGGCTTTCTTGTTTTTCTAGTCAAGATTAGATACTGCTTTTAGCAATTTGGTGATAACCACGGACAGTATACTACCACAGACGGTTAAACAAGCTGTTTTATCAGCCAATATTCTCAGTTATCATCCTCTGCCTTCCCTTTGAGAAACAGAAATATTGAAGGGGTATGAGTAAACCATACAGCTTCTGATTTTTGTATGTGGCTATTTTGCTATGAAGGTTATAAAGGGCAGAATATATATTTCAGGAAAACATAATGTTCTCTTCTTTGTTAGCAGGAACAACCACTTTATGACAGTAAGATTAATCAGTAGCATTTTTATCTTTTCTTTAAGTCAAACTGTAATGTCTCATATAATGAAAGACACAACTAATACAGAGGATAGAAACTTCTCTTTTAACTCAGATTGAAATAAGTTCTTCCATTCCAGATGTCTCTTTTGAGACACACATTGAGTATTAGTTGAGGTTGGAGTTGCTACGGCTGTTATGTGTGCACTGGCTGCTGCAAATAGTCCACCCTTTACCAACAGCTAAGATACAGCAATGCTTGTCTTAGAACATCTGCAAATATTTGAGTCAGAATATAATAATATTCGAAAAATACCAGTGTAGGACAAACGTTGGTAAATATAATCTCTTTTGTTGTATATAAGAGCAAAGGTTTATTTTTAAAGATTGGATCAGGATATCACCATTGTATAACTATGAGTCAAGCACTTGAATAGCCTAGTGAGGCTGTTCTGTATGAACCTTTAGTTGCTGTTGTTTTCCTCTCCCAGCACACACTTTCTATCAAGATAAAGAAATGCTTTACCTTTTATGTAAAGCAACTTAGAAAAGTAGGCTTTTATAATTACCCTTGTTTGCCCTCATTTTGGTAATAGCATTACCTAAGATTCGCCTGATTACAGAGACTGAGCTACTGTTTCCTATCTGGAATGACTGAAAATCTTTCCCAGGATTTGGTGAGCACAGCATCCCCAGGCAGACAGTTCCTATTCTTCCTCCAGAAGCAGGAGGAGGAGAAATAGACAAACTTTCAGGATACTGGAAAGCTGCAGTTTCCTAATGGTAACAGAACCAACTAGATGAAAACGTAGTATTTATCTAAGACAGAAGGCTCCTGCCTTCTTGAGCATCTTATGATACTTGTAGGATAAATCAAAGACTTCATTTATTCCTTTCAACTAGGTAGTACATAATCTAGTTCATCATAAGCAAGTTTAAGTTTTGTTTACTTACTACCTCATTATACCTAAACCCAAGACGAATACTTCTCAGGTCAAATGCATTTAATTCTGTAGGAAACCTCAACGGAAATAGCTTGAGAACACAAAAAATGTTCAAATTTTCTTTAGTTTTATGATATGATTTCTATAGTCTTATACTATTTTTGTGTACTTAATATTTTGCTTTTATTACTTGGCCATTCATATACTTTTTTAAGTGATTTAATCTCTTAATTTAAATACATGTGCATAGCAACACCACCTTCCTGAAATTTAAAGCTAGAAGAAATAATTATTCTCATTACTGTTTTCAGTTATGAGACAAGGTAGATTTATTAAATGAAATATTTAACAAAACCAAAACAAATCTATTGACTATGTGTTTGCATTTTCTGTAGTAGAAGTAACAGTAGTGAAGTCTTGCAGAATTACGAAAGATTTTACTTCCAGCTTCTAGGGGCAAATCATGTTGACCCACAGCCAGAGATACTGACTTTTGTAATTTACTGAAATATTCATCAAACAGACTATTTTCTCAGAGAACTTTGCATTTCCCAGTGAGGTGTAAGTGCAAAACCATTTGATGCTGGCTCTGCACAATGTTTCTCATTCCCAAGTTGGCTATTCCTAATGTGCTTGCTTGTGTCACGTGCTCTGCAGTTGAAGATACATAATGTATTTTACAGGTGAATGAAAGAAAATAACTTTTGTTTTTGGAAAAAAAGTAGTCCATGAACATTTTTTGTTAATGTTACATAGATTTTCGACACATTACATTTACAAATATGAATTGTAGCTACCACCTTTCATCAAAAATATGTTATTGATTTCCCATCTGTAGGAGACACACAGCAGTGCCAGTTCTATTTTTCTTCTACTTCCCTTCAGAGTGTTGTCTCTATATTATGGTGCAGCAAATGACTGCAATGCTCTAAAACTGCATGACACACTCCATGCTCCATCTCAATCCAGAAATTCTCTGCTTATGAGAATGACCAGTCATTTTACAACTGTAATTATGATTTAAGAAGGACTGAATGATGGAAAGTAATTGCTTAGGTCAGATGACATAGGAAAATTCAATTTGAGCTGTGTCCTGTATTGGGTTTACAAATAACACCAAAGAAAATAGCCTAGAATTTTTAGTCAAACATGACAATAGATCCAACAAGATATTTAATAGCCTCTCAAGGTAAAGCATTTTCATCTGTACTAAGTGTCAAAGTGATATAAAAAAATCTGGTAAGCATTCCGCAGGGGAAATTTTCATCAAATGAAGTGCTGATGGAATAAACTAATGTTGATATCGCAGACAAAATCTAATGTAGCTGTGAAGGGGCATTCTGCGATGTTGTAGTCACTGCCTATGGCCTTCTGTGTAGAAGGCATGCTGTACACTGCCAGCAGGAGGGCTACAACCATGTTTAGGGTTTGTCATCTCTCCATCCTGTAACTCCTCTTAACTCATTAAATCTGTATTTGGCAGGTTGGTGACAGACAGAGAAACTACTGAGAAAACAAAACCAAACCCAACAGAAAAATTAGTGGTAGGATCCTGGACTTTATCTCAAGATACTGTTGCTGGACCACGGCTACAGGTATTTAGCCATCCTGTAGCTAGGCTGGATGATAAAGTCTATACCAACCTTTTCTTCTCCTACTAACTTCAGCTCAACCCTGTAGAAACACTTACACATCTAACCTCCCATTTCATCATTCCTGTTTTCAG